AGAGAGAGTTCATAAGTTATACGAAGCAAGTACATGGAAAAACCATAAAAGAATGCCGGCAAAATGAAACTAAAGGGGCAACTTTTAGGTAACAAGCTTCAAATCAAGCAACTCATGGGGCAAACTTATGAGTCAAACCACTGGAGATACATCAAATAATATGTTGCATAATGTGTACCTATCAAATTTGTGTAGCCCCATACATAAACAACACAAAGTTAGTTTCCAGCAGTTCCATTAAGGCATTTTATTTTGGAAAAAGCTTTATATAAGGTCTGTGTTATAATATAGAAGGTGCACCTCAACAACGTACTGGAAAAGATAGTTTCCATGGTGGAAACCCTCCAATTCATCATCTCGACCTTGAGATGGGTGGATATAAAGAAAGAAATTTCAAGCCCTAAAAACAATGCATCTAGTAACATATTATTTGGTCAAGGACGCCTCATGAAACCTCGCCCTTTTACTTTATCAGCCTCATAACATGGGAGAGGCACTCGGGACATAATGAAGATGCAGAAAAACTGGATACAGTCCTTTAAACGATATCCCAAATTTTTAACCTTTAGAAATAAAATTCAACAAACTTAAGCCATGTTTCAATGCTTCTGTATTTCTATTGATGAATGGGGTTATTCGTTAAAGCAGACATTTCTTTTCCTTTTTTATACAAGCAAGTGAACATTTCAGCATTTTCCAATTACAGGGGACATGAAATGCGCCTTACTAAATGAATGTCGGCATTTCTTTTCTTTTTTCATGTTTTTTTTATACAGAACATTTCAGTGTGATGGGGTAATTTGCTAATGCAGACATTTCTTTTCCTTTTTTTATAAAAGCAGGTGGACATTTCAGCATTTTCAAGTCAGAGGGGACATGAAATGGGCCTTCCTCAATGAATGTCAGTAGCGAACTTAGCCCATAGTGTTGCAATTGTCAACACATTAACCAATCAAACCCAAGCCCGAATCCTGAGTATCTCTATGCATTAATGGTTTGGGGAGGGAATGGAATTATTACTTATTAAACAGTCTATTCAAACAGAGCCCAAATTCGTAGAAGGACCAACACACTTCCTGGACAATTATGCAAAAGTACTCAACTACCCATGCCAGAAGAAAATCTTGACAAATGGATTTTTTTTTTTTTGAAAAAGAAATATTCTTCAAACAAGTGATGAAAGAAATGTTTCCTCAGACATTTCAATGGATAACAAAAGTTTTATACCAACCAAAACTCTAGGAGAGACAAAAACCATTGCGTTCATGACTCTTCCAATTGAGAAAACTACACCAAATCGAAAAAGCCCAAAATTTAATTTACTACGATAGTGAAGTGTACACTAATATGGCCAGCTAAACTAATTTTCAAGCAGAACATGCTTCTTCCAACCTAAATCACCATCGAACCTGTAAAATTCAACGAAAAGATTCGATTGGCTCAAGTCGTCCAGTAAAACTGATCGAGCAAGAGGAATTAGTTCCATTGTTTTGATTCAACTGCTCCATTCTCCTTTTACCCATTTATTTTTTCCTTTTAACCAATATGATTATGTAGAGTGGGTTAGGTCAGAACAAGTTTGACTGGACTGACCACCTCTACAGTTTGATGGAAGCCCCCCAAAACAACACCTTGATAACTGAAAATTTCATTGATATACAGAAAATTCTACTCACATAAACTTAAAAATAAAAAATAAAAAATAAAAAAAATAAAAACCATAAACTCGATTTTTCATATCCCTTCATGTGCCAGAGCATCCATTTCCACAGTGGATATCATTAGAGTGTTAAATAGCAGAGGATTTTCAATATTTTTCCTATTAGAAAATCAGCAAACATGGCAATATACCCCATCTAAGTCGTCTTGGATTTTTAGCAACTAGAGAGAGAAAGAGACAGAGACTCTCTAAATCCCTAGAAGAATACATGAAGATACGGACAACCAAAAATCACTATATATACACATAATAGCAGTATTCAACCCATTAGAACCCATCAAAAGCAACCTATCATGTATGGCTTACAAAAGTGTTGAACTTACAAGGAGAAGCAAAACTTAAATAGTAGTACTATATTTAATATATATATATATATATATTTTAATGATGTTAGTATTAAGTGTGAGAAAAGGTACAAAAAGGAGGTAAGGAAGCCCACAGACTGGGTGCTCAGTACAAAAAATGAGATTTAGACTAAAAAATGCTATACATCCAAAAAATTTGGAAAAGCCATAGGTGCCCCAAACGGAAAGGTAACTAGCAGGACCGATAGCTCAAAAAGGAGATCCAATCGCCTTCATACAGAAAGGGAGATGGGTTTACAACATGAATCTTTTTGATGTGGGAACTCATTACTTACAACATGTTAGGATTAAAAAATAGTAAAAGGAAAAGATAACAAAATTCTTAGGTCCATGTATTGATTTGAATCCTCAACACTCATCAAATTCAACACCTTAATATTACCAATGTCAAAAAAAGGATTAATGTACTTGTATATGATATAACATACTGTAAGTTACATCGGAATCGTGCAAGAATAGAGAAACATTATGGGCTAGATTAGTGAACATATATACAGAGATGAGAGAAAGTCTCAGTTGCCTCATTTCACAACCTTTTCTTCTGATAAGTTCTTATTTAACAACCATAAGTTCTTATTTAACAACCATAAGTTAAACTACAAAAGCTTCTAGAGTAATCACTTTGTTAGAAGCCTGCAATAATAAAGAGATCATTTGAGAAACAATGTTTCAATTGTGGGAGCTTACCTTCATGCCAACATCTGATGTAACCTTGAAACGCCCCTTTCGCTGTACAAGTGGTCCTTCATGTGAATCATCCAGTGCATTCGTATGTGCTGCAATGTAGACACCTCACTTTCAAATTCACCACACAGACAGTTGGAGAAGATTGGGGCTGAGAAGAAAAAGCATATTATATTGTCCAATAGGATGTGGAAAACCAACATCCCGGGCTACATCCACTGTTGACTCCCACTAATGGATTGTCGGAAATTAAAACTACTGAAGTGAATGCCCCAGTGGACCCCACTGCAAGTAATTACAACTCCTTTAGTTGGATTGGAGAGTGAACTTAGCCTTAGCCTTTAACTAAGGTTTTCCACACCAAAGTCCTCTCATCTATATTGATGAAAGACCATACTTCATACCTACCTGAAGAAAGGATTTCACTATCCCTCTTTGCACGATGCGGTAAAGGACCACTGTAATTTCTTTCACCATGATGTCCATGTTGTAGATTTCCCCTTCAAATAATCCAAATTCTGTAAGTACAAGATCATATATATGGATTCTTACCCTCCATCAATGCCAAAAAGACAACTAGAAATTTTTTTGGAAGTTATTTGAAACTGCCTATTAATTTGAACAAGCCCAAGAGGGCATCCCATTTATTACATGTAAGGCAAGGTTATGATGAGCAGTTATTACAGCCCGCTAAACTTAACTTGACCAAATGCATAACATAATACCCCACTCATACTGAAAGCATTTTTACAATGAGATCAAACTCTCAAAGCACTTCAATTCGAGATTGATTTCAAAATATTAAAATAAGAAAAATACAAATGTGTGGAATCCTCAAGAATTTGAACTTGAAGGTTAAGGGAAACAAATACCATTATGAAAGATTATATGACAGATGGAAAAGGAGATGCATTCAGTGTGATAAAACGGGATAAGCTCATAAAACTAGCAAACAATTCTAACCAACAATAAGCTTGGAAAATCCTCAATAGACATAAGTGGCACAAGCGTGATTGTGTCTGATGACAGCATGTCCTTCTAGCTAACAAAAATTGAAAAGGTGTAAACTGAAAAACAAATGACCATACCCCCAAGGAAGTGGAGCCCTTAGAGGAGGAGAACAATAATTATGGATTCCAAATATACTCCCCCAATTTCAACACAAAGATCGATGAGAGTAAAACTTTGATTACTGAATAAAAATTTTGATCAAACAAATTGCTGATATACAAGAAGGCGATGGTGCTAAAAGTCTATCTCATTATGATTAAGTGACAGCCCAAATCCAAGTTGCTGTAATTCATAAGAAAGGTAAATTTTACCTGTCCCCATCTCCATTTCCACTTCTAGTGACACGCTCAGGTATAAGAGAACCACTAAGAAATTTATTCCCTCTTCCAGGAAGAGGATTGATGATGACCTTGGAAGAAGAGAAACTTCTTTCGAAACCCTCGTTCTCATTTGGTTTTGGCTCTTGGTCATCTTCCTGTGGTTCAAATTCAGATTGAATACCCTCCTTAGGGCTGCTAGAGTTGATATCGTCTTCAGTAACATCAAAATATCCTCTGTAATCATGAAAAGATCAGAAAGATTGAAAGCGAACTAACCAACAGCCCTATGTTTTTAAAGTTTTTATTCTCTTCAAGAAAACTTAGATTGAAGATAATGCCCAAGACACCAAGAGGTCCAGGCAAGTATATTTCAAGGGAGAGGATTGAGCAAATATATTTGATACCCTGTATTTTACCAAGAAAGTTTAAGGACCTAACATATCACATGTCTGTAATGAAAAATGAAATAAAAAAAGGGAGGAGACATACTTGAGTGCCTCAAGAGGATGAAGTGGAAATGACGAAGGAAACGGACGTTCCCTATCTTTAAGTATATGGTCACCATCCTATAGGAATCATAATGAAAACATATGGGTGAAAACTAGAATACATCCAAAATGTTCCAGGAAATAAACTATAGTCCAATAGACTATAGTAAACCACTATCCATTGGGGTCATCGATATCCAATGAAATGATGGATGGAGATAGGGAGAGAATGGGAACCACAAGAACAGAACACAGCCAAAATGGTGGTCCCGTTTTTTTTTCCATCAATATCATCATTGATCTAGACAGTCATGACCCTAATCAACTATGGTTTCCCATAGCCGATTGGGTCACAACATACTTCTTCAAAGTTCCAATAGAAGCATAGACGAGAAGCCATAACTAAAAAAAATAAAAAGCAGAAAAATATAGGCCATGGGGAATGCAAGAACTTCGTGACTTAAAGTCCTTGACCAACCTCTTCGACAATCTCAGAAGTATCATGGTTAGCGTTATTTGGAGAAAGTGGGTCCGGTGCATCATTAAACCCAGCTTTTTCTTTGCCATTCATATTTATATCATTTGAACCAGGATTTTCATCATAATCTTGAATCTGCAGACAAATCTTTAAGAACTGAGATATGAAACAGAATCCTTTATATATTTGAAATGGTACATAAAAATGGTTACTTAGATAAATACACATATTTGAATGGAAAGACGAAATTCTTACAAGAGAAGCTTGAGCCTTCAAGTCATCCAGATTAAAATTCCAGGCACTGATTCCCCGTATGTATTCATGCTGCAAGAAGCAAGGAGCAGCTTCAATATAAGCGATTGTATTCGTGAAAATAACATTCTTGATAATTTTTTATTGATCGATAACAGAGGCACAATAATCAACTGATATATAAAAATTCAAATAGAGGGAATGAATCCCCACGCCGTTTATCCTGAAAACCAACATGTAGGTTTTCTCCATAGCTTCACTATGCACATGCAATAACTCTCCATGAGCAAGAGATAAGAGAAGGAGAATATGAAACTAGTGCCTGGAATAGCTGTTACAAAACTTAGTATCAAACAGTCCCTAGACTGGTCAATTCTTTAAATATGGTTTACCCCTATCCACCACTTCAATAACACTTATTATTAAAATATAGTTATAGTTGCTCCAGTACTCAGCAAGTACCCAAGTAAGTCAGCTTGGCGAGTCCTGAATTGACTCACCAAGTCATGCCTAAGCCCAAGAAAAACATGACCAACACCCCCATAAAATAGGAAAGTACAGAAAATATATCACAAACATTTCTGAAAAATTATATACAAAATGAAAAATGATGAAACTTATATTTTTTATGGACTTCGGATCTAGTTGATCTGAAGCTTGGATTTTCGGCCACCCCTATTTTGATACTCCGAATCTTACAAATCAGAGATTTTGAGCCTTCCTATTTTTTATTTTGTTTCTGTTGTTGAATCCAAGGTTTGGATTTGATAGACAACACAAAAATACCTAGGGACAAACTTGCAGGATGATTGAAGCTAGAATTACAAAAGAAAAAAAAAGAAAGATGGGTCAGCTAAAGCTACACCCTATTTCGATATTCCATATCATGGAAATCTGAGATTGAGTGTTTTATTTTATTTTTGGTTGCATCCAAGGTTTGGATACAATAGGAACACAAAAATAGGCCTAGGGACAAATTTGGGGAGAGCCAGGATTTAGAAAAACAAGCAAGATGGGTCTGATTTCTCCCCCTCTTGTATTTTCTGAAAAAATGTCAGACTCGATGAGTCCTGGAGGACTTGCCCAAGTCCCCTGCACTCGGGTGGGTCCAACAGAAAATCAGCCAAGTCCATGATGGGACTGGATTTGGAATACAGTAGGGCCCCCAGCAAGTTGGTGCCTTCCTGAGCCGGCAGGCTGCCGGGTCCGGTAACTCGCCTGTGTCCCAGTTGGACTCGATCAGTATTAAAACAATGTTTGAATATACAAACACAGTAAAAAAGACAAGGACCTACCTAGGCACCTTTCAAAGAGCAAGTTTCTGAAACTACTATTTATGCAGGTGTTCCAGGCACTGTTTCCATATTTTGCTTAATACAAATTTCCAATTTTCTGCATTTCTAAATTTTTACATTCTCTAAATATAGAATCTTCACTATTGTTATCAACATTTCTTATTATTATATATATTTTCTTATCTAAAGGATTAGGATTTCAATTGCAAACCACTTCCTCCTTGCTAAAAGTGAATCTGAGTTATGTGAAAATCCAACATATACTTTTTAAGAAAAAAGTTTATATAAGGTGGCAACCTTATATTATTGAAATAAGGTACACCTCAAAAATCCTACATAAGAGAGAGTTCCGGCATTGGAGAACCCTCCAATTGATCGTCTCGACCTCGAGATGTATGTACATAAAACAGAATAGTTCATCTTGTAAAAAGTTACTTGGACCATTTAGTTTTAAGATTTCCAAGTATTCACTGATTTGCTCTATTTGTACCATTTTTTAAATTTAAAATTTTATAACTAGATGGAACAACATCTAACCAAATTTTAAAGGGGTCCCTTAATTTTATAGTATAAGGAGGCAACCTTATACAAACCTCACCCATTTTTTAATCTTCAGCATCCCATTATGACAAGCAAATAAAGAGACAACAAACCTGTGACTTCTGCTCTTTATCACCATACATTGCTTTGTTCTGAAGAAGCAGGTCTGCCTCTTTTGCCTGTGAAAATAATCGAGAAAACTTGTGATTTTTTTGTGTAAATAGTGATATTTCTGACTTCTGATATAGAACTCTGCAATTCTCTCTGATAGAAACGGAAGTATCACCAATTCATCATAACTTAGATACAATCACAGACCTTTAGTGCCCTAAACCGATCACCCAGTGGAGAGAGACCATCAAGAATTGTTCGGGCTATATATTCATTGGAGCGAGCATGTTTGAAGAAATGGTGCTTCAAGAGCTTCTCTGAAGAAGGACGCTTCTTTGGATCCTTTACCAGGCATGCCGCAACCATTTCTTTGAAATTCTACAAAAGCATATTTGACTTTTAGAATGCTGCAAAAAAATGAGGAATATATACTATAATATGATGGGCTATAAGCAAACCACTCCACTGGATCATCATCACTGCCCAATGAAATGGATGGTGACAGAGCAAGTAGGACTGCCATTGGAACTTCCTGTTCCGGTGATCTCACTTTCTCTCTCTCCATCACCATCTATTTCAGCAGACCATATTCTTTCCAAAAATAATGATGACCCCAATAGATTACAGTATTTTCATGGTTCACTGGATGAGGGCATATTTTCCTACAAATGACACCCTATGAAATAACGTTATACATCACAAATAAAGAGGATCATAATATACCCTTGAAAATCTCCTGTCCCGTTCATAGTCAAGACCTGGAGGTGCATTTTGTAAGGTCATAAGCAAGACCTACATTATAAAAAAAGGTGATTTGCTTCAAATTAATGTAAGGACACAATGTTTGGCCCAAAATGGCCAACAGTCTGCATACGGAAGCCAATAATCACCTTCATAGGAGGATATTTAGAAAATGGGGCATGACCATGGGCAAGTTCCAAGGCAGTTATTCCGAATGACCAAATATCCGCTCTGCCAACAAAAAGTGATAGATTGTAAATAGTAGTAAGCTTTATTTCCTATCCTTGTTTTTTCTTTTCCCGCCCACAAGGGTTCAACTATCAAAAGACCATGCTGGCTAAAATTTCACACCAATGGACATGGTTGTAGATAGCAAAAAAAGGTACAGATAGAAATATATATGTGTGCAGGTTGTGAACATGCAATTCATAATTCATCTACTCACTTGAAATCATAGCCATGTAGTTGTTGCATAACTTCAGGAGCCATCCTGCGAAGCATGAAAACTTGTCATTTGATAGAAGAAAAATGTTTAATATGGTGAGCATCTAAGTGCCAATAAATAAAAAATCCCACATATATGGTGATGGGCCTAAGAAATACCAGCAGGGAGTTCCCACAAATGTATTCCTGGATCTTTGTCTATCTCCAGTATCAAACATACAAGCTGAAACTCCAAAGTCTGCCAACTTGACAGCACCATTCCCATCAACCAAGATATTTCCAGCCTGAGAAATGGTATAAATAAAATGTAGGAATAATGTTTAATATCACATAGAGAAGTAACATACAAGCACCAATATTAAGATTATGATATTGTTAACAGACATTCATGAAATGTCAAGTCCAATTACAAAATACGGACCTCTATCATTTCCATGCACCCAACAATGGAGTATCAATACTTTCCAATTCAGGCCTTACTGCATCTAATAAGCAGTGCCACCCAAACCTATCAAGTACCCGCTCAGTTACAAACTCAAACCAAAGATGAAATGATGGCCTCCACATTCACATAGGTTGTGAGACAAAAAATGAAATGCATAGTTCCTAAGAAATTTATATTTCTTTTTTCAAATTGTTTGGGTGTTACCAAGATTGTTATTTTACATTTATTAAGTTGACCTCCTCACTAACTGCTCATAGTCCATCAGAATATTTGCTTTAGTTCACCATCAGGGTTGAACATTCAACAAGTCAACCACAACTGGCTCCTATCACCTCAGTTTGCACAGTCCGTCGTACTTAAAATTGTTTTGACACAGTTCAGTCAGGACACTTCCTAGCTTTGCCTTACTTATTATAACTTGAACTACACAAGCCCAAATTAACTAAGAACTTTGTGTCGACTCAAATAGAAACAGGATAAATCCTATTGCAGTTTGTGGTTCAAAATACCATTCTAATATCTCGCTTTCTTCAATCCTACTGTTTGCTTACCAATTTATTTTATATTTGCAAATCAATTTAATTGTGAGAGAGATTTGGCACAGAGACGGTGAAGTATTATTCAAAATTTCAAATACAATTCCCATATACTCAAGCTGCTGGTTTTACTATCTTCTGATTTTAAGACATATACATTCAAAGGTAATCCAAAACATTCCTGTTCGAGAACAAAGACAAATAAAAGAAACTTAAAAATATCGTAAGAGGACACAAAGGATTACCTTCACATCCCGATGGATGTGTCCATGGCCATGAAGATAGACAAGAGCCTTAAGTACCTCACGCAAGAGAGTTGCAATAACTGGTTCATCAAATCCCTCAGGATAAGTAGTTTTCATTATATGAAGACAAGACCCCCCAGCCATATAAGGCATCACAACCCATAGATTATGATCTGCTGTAAAAGAGCAATGTGCTCTTAATAAATTTGGATGATCAATCAAGCTCATCATTTGTACTTCACGGCGAATCCCATCCTGCATATGATACAAAATCCAAACCAATCAGTGAACATGCACAAGAAACACCCATTTCTTTGTACATTTCTGTTCAGCTATATTTGAGATGGGAGAGTTCGAGTATAATCTATTGGTTCATCACCATCCAATGAAATGGTGTATCAGTGGAAATAATACAAGCCATCAGAACAGAACATGATTTGGGTTCCCACTCACTTTCTGTCAATATTTGCATTCAATGGACTATTGCTTCTCAGTCCAAGTTACATTCAATAGTTAAATAATTCAATCAATGCTAGATGGTGAACTCACTTGCACACCCTATCAATACTGACTATCTTCCCCTCTTTCTTATATACTAATAGAAGAGTCAGAAAAATAATAAGAAAAGGAATAGTAAGCTATTTCAATATGTAACAAAATTGTGTTTCAAGAAACAATTAAATCAGAAAATGCATGGCCCTTCCAAACAGTTCATCAAAAGACCAGGGCATCATGTCAGCTTAGAAGAAGAGGCTAGAAATTAGCACCAAAAGAGAACCACTTAGTAAACTCTGTAGAAGATGAGGATATATAGTTGGATAATGAGTTAACACGTTCCAAATCCTTAAGCTATTATAGAGAAGAAAACAAAGGAAACTAAAAGCTGAAGGACAAAAGTATTTCAACTAATGAAGCAGAAAGAGAGTCGAGAAGAGATAACTGAATCAAAATATTTCCTATTAAGTTCCATTTCTGCAAGTAATGTGACGTTGGTATTCAAATGGCTATAAGCGCTATAACACTGCAGGAGATCACAGAGAAAGATGGATTTTACAAAATCACACATACACATGCATGTGCACGTGCGACCACACACAGACATAGAGAGAGAGAGAGAGAGAGAGAGAAAAGAGAGAAAAGAGAGAGATAGAGAGAGAGAAGAGAGAGAGCAATTTGAGGATGAAAGTAGACATACCAAATCATTATTGCATTTTTCAAGATCCAGAACCTTAATAGCAACAATTTCATTGAGCGGAATGCAAAGGGCCCTGTATACAGATGCACTAACACCCTCACCAACTTCCTCGTATAATCTGTAGTCTTTTGAACTGAGTGGATATTTCTTCTCATACGCATGGTCCATGGTTGTTGTTCATTGCAGATTTTTAACACCCTCCAAACTGCTTAAATTTCTGAAAAACAGCAATAACCAAGACAGAACGAATAAAGCACAGTAACATTCCAATTCCACACCATGCCCTCTTTCTCTAAAACTAGAATTTGTAAAAGAATTGCCCCAACTTCATGGAGCCACACATTCCCCCTATTTATCAATAGTTGACCAATACCCTATAATTTTATTCCTGAATCCCAAGAAACACAATAAAACCCCATAATATATATACATACACATGCATGTGCGAGTATCTCTGTACAATGGCATCTAAAAATTAGGGCATTTTAATACAAAATACAAACATCATCACTTGCATCCTGACCTGCCTCTCAAACCCATGAAAACTAGATTTTTAGGCTCTTCAAGAAAGCAACTTGTACTGATGACAAATAAAATATGAATTTCTGATGGCCAAACATCAGCAGCATACCATGTTCTATCTGAAATGCATGCATTTTCATTGTACTCATTTCCTAATATTGGCAATACTTTTATGGAAAACCACCCATATCTATCTCACAACAGAGGAGTAATACATCTGGCAAAAGAAAAACAGATGAAACTCAGAAAGGCATAGAAAACTCTACAGCATAAGCAAATCAATTGACCAACATTATTTCATTCATAATTTGCGTTAAAGAAAAATAATAAGCGGCATAAGCATCAATCATTCCCTTTTTCAGATCAAAGCATTAATCATTTCCAACAACATCAAAACAGCACAATATGGGAACCATTTATTTCAAGAATCGTTGATTGGTTATTTCAGTTGGTATGAATGTTATGGAGCGCCAGTTGTACCAGTCATTCCCTTTTTCAGATCAAAGCATTAATCATTTCCAACAACATCAAAACAGCACAATATGGGAACCATTTATTTCAAGAATCATTGATTGGTTATTTCAGTTGGTATGAATGTTATGGAGTGCCAGTTGTACCAGTCCAGTCCTTATATTTTTTATTTTAAATTCCTTTTGCTTAGATCAGTCTGACTGGTGAAGCAGCTAGTCCAACCAGTTTCGACCACACCGGTTCCCTCACCTGCTTGATGAATGGTCTAGTCCTAATAATGTTGGTAAATACCCACTGCCACTAGCATTACAAATAGCCAAATTGTTAGATATATTTTATTAATGTACATTAGCTCTCTATCAATTAGATGCTCATTTATTCTGTCATTCATTTTATTCTTTAGAACTACATCACCATCCCTGTTGTATGAGTGTCATCATCGTTGTTGTGTGAGTGTCATCATCATCACTATCCAAGCCTTATCCGAACTATATGGGGTCTGCTACACGAATCTTGTTCCACCATTCTAGGTTCAGGATTCATGAAAAGATGTGGCAAAGTTCTACGCTGGCTGCTCTATCCGGGCGTGGGACTGATATGACTGGCTTGGGACCGGCCATGGCGGAATTCCCCGCTGTATTAGTGTGTATGCTTATAATTGTTAGAGGAGTCATTCCCCGTAGGAAGTTCAGCAATTTTCTATACAATTTAAGTGTTATGTCATTCTCTGTGTATGTTTAACACTGTTGCCCCCATCTATAAATTTGCAATAACCTGAATTAAAATAACAAAAGAACCTTTATGAGGAGATTTGAAGCCCTATAAGCTCCTTTGATGCTTTAAACTGCTAGATTCTGAGCTGGAAATAGCCTCTAAATCCCATTAATATCCTACTTTATAGATTAAATAGATGCTAACGTGCATGGAACTCTTCTAAAGAAAACTACCCTCTTACAAAAGTTGCCTCCGTTTCTAGTTTTCTTGGTCAGACAAAGGGGCAATTGCAGCTAGAAATGTTCTAAGTGGACCTTCAGAGGGCGTCAAGCTAAATTGATGCACAACACAAGGAGGCATCATCAAGAGAGGAAAGGTCAAAGTGGCCCTGGAACATCCTTGAGGCAATAATAAGTGGGGAAGAGCCACATGTCAAAAAGGGCACCACCTATTGAGCATGTCTGCTCACCATTTTCTCTTTGTTCAACCTTCTTATCTAAGAATGTACAACCTCCTCCCCCAGTTTTGTTAGTTATCCCACAGTTAAAGCTCAACAGCAAGGGAACCTCCTAGGTTTCCCTCCCGAGGGTTATATCAGACTAAGTAATGAGGCATTCCACCATGCTCCTAACCTGGTTTGATTGCATTGAACACTCTACAGTTACAATGCAAATACAACCCATCTTTTATCGCCTTCATCAACCCTATAAATTGTAGAACGATTGATAGAAGAGTGGCCTTCGCCCTTCCATGAAGAGAGATCCCTCTCGTTGCAGACCACCAGTGACTGTCTTAAACTGGAAACTGGAAACCTGTGCTTTAGAATGAGCTAAAACTTAACCAGTCTCCAAGACCAAAATCCGAGAACCAGCAAAGGTTCTCTGTTCAAAGGAAACCACCTCTTGTTTAAAGGGAAATGAGAATGTACGCAACCATTTCAAAGGTTCCGCAATCCAATAGGGAATAAAGTCCTCCAAGCCATTAAGACCCATATGCCAATCCTCCTGAGGTCCAAAAAAGACAATTCAGTTAATTTTCTTAGTAGGCAACCCTCGAACAACTGGTTGAGAGAGAGAGGCATCTTTTGACTCCTCAGTCTCTATAATTCAAGCTTTCTTTGGCCTGTTGGGTAGTTGCAACTCTGCGAGGGCATTGCATTGTTTTTCAAGGGAGTGGGGGCCCCTCATGCAGAAGGTGAATCCTCAAATTTTACAACATTCAGCCCCCATTTTTGTGCATTTTTATGAAGAGATTTTTAACTTTAGCAGTGGTTATTTGATCATTTGAACACATTCTAAAAGTGGCGAATGAATTAGCCAAAAAACTATCTAGAGGCCTTTCAGTAGTCCTTGGTGATCAGTAGGCATTTTCTTCAGCGTCTGCTCCATTATATTTATGATTGTGCATTTTAATACATGCAACAGTTAACAAAACAAAAATATTTCCAGGGAGGCAGGATTTAAGCTCTTTTCTCTGATTTGACTCCAATATCCTAAGAAGAATCACCCCTTCCTTTTGCCTGACCATAGTCCAAAATATTTGCTCCCCAAATCCTTAGTATAGAGGAAATCACGTTTCCTCCAAGACAGCCATCTAGTCCTTTGAACCATTATTTCCTTTCAATGCTCTTCTCTCACTGGGCAAGCTAAACCACCAGGGAGGCTGAACATATCAAAGATATTGCTCCTTTAATAAGTGAAATCCTCATCTCCTATTCGAATATTAAGTAATCAGTGGTTGAGACCTCTCTCCATGTACTTATTAGCATCTCCCCCAAGAGTTTTTGAAGGTCTCTCTCTATTTTCTTGGGCTTCAAGGTTGTGGGGCAATAACAAAAAGGCATCTGTCATACCCCATTAGTTCCACTCAATATCATTTGTTTTCGTTAATAAAAACCAATTTTTTGGATAGTACTATAGTTTGTTCTCTATGCACAGATCTTGTTCTACAGTTTGAAGGGCTCACTGTCAACTTATAACGAACAAATTAACGATTGTGTACTTTTCGAAAACATTAATGAGGTTTTATTCTAAATAAAAATAGACCCTTACGATATGGTTTAATCACCATGATCTTCATGAGGATTGCTTAACCATACACAAACAATGCCTTAACATAAAGTTGGACTAGTTTAACCCTGGTTTCTTGCCAGGTAATGAAATAAACATATGAATATTTTTGGTTAAAAAAATATAATCTTTTATGCACAAACCATCACACTAACAAGCAAGTGTCTATACATTCTTATTGTACAAATATGGAATCAATTTATAAACTGGGAAAGTGCAGCAAATCCAGAAGACCAGGATCACCACTAAAGCCTGGAGCATCAACACAAACTAGGTATCAAGTAAATGTCTAAGATACTGTACAACATGTGTGTGTGTGAGAGAGATAGAGAGAGTGAGACAGATCTTACAAAGCGATCCCCAATCCAACAATCTCGCTCTCAAAACCTTCTTCCTTTTTCTTTTTTTTTTTGAGGGGGATCATTAGATCTCTTTCTAAGCTTTCTGCTCTTACCACCATCTAGTATAACTTTTCCACATTATTCCAAATTTTTACGGAATTCATTAACTTAGTATTGTTCACACTCAAGCAAGAAAATTACCCCAGCTTCATGATAAATTGAAAAGAGAGACGCGGCATATCCACATTCAAGCCCCATGTTTGTCAGTTTTCAATTCAACATTTATGGCAAGTAGTTTACCCCTTTGAGAAAAATGTCAAAACAAAACAAATGCATTTTTGAAAGCGCTTCTTTCTCACTTCCGATTGCAGCTTTACTTATTTTAATGTTCATATTATGAATTTCAGTTTGTATGTTCTGAATTTTTTCTTGCATCGGTATAAGTGTCTGCAAAAAACTCATGCTGTCAATGTTCTGATCGACATCAAATCACCTCACTTCATAAACTCACTAGTTTGGCATATCTGACCAATCCTAACTTCACAAATTTGTTGTGAATTGATAAACACTACGCTATAAATTTCTGAATAATTCATAGCTTTCGTAGTATCACCCCTCTAGCCCAATCCAACCACGTCGCAGCACAACAAAAAATAACTAAATAAATAAGTTTTCTCTCAGATTGCTCATATACCACAAAAACTGTCATAAGCTTGATAATTCTACCAGATAACCCAATAAACTGGGCCATGAAACACATGAAGCACGAAGAGATCGAATTCAGAGGCAAAAACAGAGCAATATAACCTAATTCAAGGAACTCAGTGCACCATCCAAGTCCAAAAAATCTCCATATGACACAGCATCGATGAATCCCAGTTCCAATAATTAAAACTAGCCGTAAAAAACCTAATACAAATAGCTAATAAGAATTCCCTCAAATTGGACAAATTCACACAATTTGAGATCACAGAGAATCCAAAAGCCCACAAAAATGAAGTCATACTTCACTGAAAGTCCAAATCAAAGTCCTGAACATTAAAAGCATCATCCACCGAAATCAAGAAACAAACAATCATTGAAAATGACTTGCACACCTTGATAATGCAAAAATTGTAGAGGGAGAAATTAGGGCTACTTTGACACGAGTGAAGCAATCATCGCAGAATGGGATTAGGGGCACATGGGAGACACATCATCAGAAAGGAGCCCCAGGATTTTCGAAACCCCTTTGATGTTCCATAAGATTTTTTACTCTTTTATTGCTGGGCTTTTCCATTGAAAAGTGCATACGGCGAGACCAGGGGAGAGAAAGGAAGACGACAGATTTCGAAGGGAGAGGAGAGATCAGACCAAATGGGGATAATAAATTAGATTTGCAGAAATACGGGAGAGTACTCGGGTAAGAGAGAGAGAGAGAATGCGGTAAATGGAAGAGAAAGCGTACGGTGAATGCAAACTTAGAGAGAGAGAGAGAGAGAGAGAGAGCCGACCCCACGGACTTTTTTATGCAGAGAAAGTGTTCTCTCTATCTCTCGGCTCTCATCTATTGACCGGCTCAGCTTCACCAGCTTAGCTTCACTGCACATGGCTGAGAAATAATTTTTCATGAAATTATTTTGTAGTGTATGGTGTATGCTGTAGAGACTGGTGTATTAATTTAAAACCCAAAATTGGTAATCCCGACCAACCTGATTTTAGAGGCCAAAATAGTGTCAAAATCTTAAAAGGGGTTGCTTATGAAGTGACCGTTTATTTTTTTTTTGGTACATGGAATTGTTTATGAAGTAACCGTTTATTTTTTTGTACATAAACGTCACAATCATTCTTGTATCTTAAATTAGTCCAGCTTTATTTTACAGTTATCAACCGTCTTATGCCTGCCTATTGATAACCCATGATACCTTATAGAACTATCATCAAAATTAAGTTTAACGCATCCCACAGCACGGCATTTCCATATCCTTCACAGTTCTCTCTCTTATTAGAACACGTGATTTATACATTAAATCACACACCCCTTCAACCTTTATTACCTGCTAACCATTCAGCTTACAACACTCGAATTTCTTGGTTAAGTTCAATAGTTAATAATGCCTTGCATTAAAAAAACTCAAAAGCCTGTAACGGTGGAGGGGGACTAATTAAATGTTATAAAATGGATTCGAAAGGAGGCACAATGCCCTTGGCAGTTACACGGTCTGGTTCGTGAGGTATGTGATCACTATCTTTAGATGGAATGTTCATTTGCCCATGTTTACAGAGAGTGCAACATGCCGGCCGGGTTACTGGTAATTGGCTGATTATTGAGGAATTTGTAGTGTGGTTGGCTTTCATAGTATTTTGTTTTGTTGTTTTTGTATTATCGCGCCATGGACATTGTAATTGCTGTAAGGTGCAGCAATTTCTGTTACTGTTTCTCAAAAAAAAAAAAATGGACATAAAGTTCTAAAAAAAAAAATTTTGAATTTTGTAACTCATCTCAAGCCATCTAATTTTGATACCTAATGAGTGAAAATGATTGTAACATCGATGTACAAATATAAATGTTTTCTTTATAGTCACTCCCATATTAAAAATACATTAAAAATAAATTTAAGTTGGAATCAATGCCCCGAGATTCACTTCAGTATGGATAGAGAACGACAACACTGTTCTTCTGATCGTTAAGGGAAGCTTCCATGTGCATTTTTAAAACTAGAAAAGATAAAAAATGGGTACAATTTGGTGCTTTTGTGAATCTTTTTTATATAAAATATATCTTATAAATTTATAAATATTATATTTTATAGTTTTTTAAATTTTGTGTATTTTATGGCCGCCTTTTATGTACATAAAGGATACTTGAAAATCTTATTTATATATTTATTTTGAAAAAAGATTATATAAGGTTACAATCTTAAAATATAGAATTACATATGCACCTCAAAAACCAATCGAAAAAGGTTGTTTTAATATTGAAAAACCCTTTAATTGATCGTCTCGACATCAAGATGTATGAATATGGAAAAAAAAAAAAGGAAGAGATTTCGAGTTACTAAAATAATAAATCTTGCAACACATTATCCAAACCGTCCATTTTCAAAATTTTCATATGTTTCTAAATCTACTTGATTTTAACTATTTTTAAATTTAAAATTTTATAATTAGAGACGAAAATAGATTTTCAGATAATCCTAATAGTTATTTACACCGATTGGAGGTTAACCACACCCACTTATTTTTATGGGTAAGTTAGTTACTGCACTTCGATTTATGGCATGAAGCCAAAGATTTTTAGTGGCAGAGAAGATAATTTGATAATAATTTTGGGAATTACTCAATGCTTTTACCCAAATTGTCAGTTCTTTTGACTGAATTCCCTATTTGTCTAGGATAGACCATACAAAACCTTAAACTAACGTTTTTTATAATCCTCAGGATTACACTGTATTAATGTTACATATCCTTTCAATTGGATATCCACATTGCTGGTCGGTTAAGAACAATAGTTTCCATGCATCTTTATGCGATAATCATTAATTTACATTGTCTATTTCTTTTGATAGAATTATCTCCACCGTCTTTCGTACAGAATATGCCTCACACTTTAAAACAATGTCGAAAGAGGGAGCCGAAAAGCTTTGCAATGGCATGAAAATCTATTGTCACTTCAATAAATGATGCACATCGAGCGGATCCAAAAACATTTAATTTTTTTGAAAATAATGGTATAGAGTTAATGCAATACAAGAAGTACCATTTTTTATGACTTCAAATCTTTTTTTTTCATATCGATACATCTCGAGACTGAGATGATCAATTTGAATGTTTTCTAATATCAGAACAATCTTTTTTAAGGGGATTTTTAATACCTTATATAAATTTTTTCGATTTGCATAAGGTTGAAACTTTAAACAATCAAAGTAAGACACACCTCCAAACTTTGTCATAAGATGCAATTTAGACGTCAAAAATTCTTTTGATAACCAGATAGTCTATTTTTATCTCTAATTATAAAATTTTAATTTATGAAAATGGTTCAAATCAAGCAGATCTATAAGCACATGAAAATTTTAAAAGTAAATGGTAAAGATAATGTGTTGCAATATGTACTCTTTTTGTGAATTGATTTTTTTTTTTTTTTTTTCATATCTATACTTCTCGACATCGAGATGAACAACCAGATGGTTTCTAACGTCAGAACATCATTTTCCAACGGATTTTTGAGGTGCACCTTAGTTCTACAACTTAAGGTTTCGACCTTATATAAAATTTTTCCTTTTATTATTATATTTCTTGGTAGTTCAAGAGGGATTGGGACCCTTACCCCTGATAGAAATAAAACTTAAGACGTTGTGATGACCCACTACCCTAGTTAATTACCTAGATTTACGGCTATTCCTTTTTTTTTTCCCTTTTATTATTGCTTGGGACTTTTAGTTGCTATGTGTATATAACACATTAGAAGACAATTTTTTTTGGGTGAATCAGTGGGGATATCAAGCCGCCACCCATTTTATTAAGAAGCCAAAAATATATCTTACATGAACAATCATACAACCCTTGCAAGGGAACACTAGCAACATCAATGAAATGAAAGGCATAACAAAATCTAGGGCACATGCTCGCCACATCGTTGCTTCATTCATAAAAACTGATGGTTTAGCTAAAGAGTTCGCAACTATATTGGCTTCCCTATAGACGTGTTGGATCTTCCATTGATGATCAACAAAAGATGCAATTGTAGATATACAATTAGCCAAAATTATGCGTAGTCTCCAAAGAAGCATGCAGCGACGACTCAGAGGATCAACAAGAAGCTTGAAGTCGCTTTCAGTGATAAGAGGAACACAATTTAATTACCTTGCCAATGAGATACACTTCTCAAGGGCATGGAATTCAGTTGTGTTGTTAGAAATAATGCTCAATGTTGCTAGAAAGGCCGCCATGAATCCACTTGCATCATTATAATAATGCCCCTACAACCAGCGTTACCTAATTCTGCCTAGAAGCTCCATCGATGTCAAACTTGAAAAAACCTAAAAGAGGAGGCAGCCACGCTCCATGGATGTGAACATTGGGGGTAGCATACTCTAATGTAGGTTAAGTTTGGAAGCTATATTAAATTCAGAAAAATGGAAGGCTCATTTTTAACTCTAGCAAGCGATCTAACCCAATGACAAGTATGCCGTAGGATTCGCTCCCTAGGCCTGTTCCCCTAGCCATGGATATGAGATTTATGCTCCATCCAAAGACACCAAATAGTAATGGACAAAGCACTATTCCAAACAAACGGTATACTTGTGGATCAAAATCTAAATTTGATCCATTTGGCCATTGAGTATTCCATACTTGTATATTTGAATAATGGAAATTTTATTAAACTACTCATTAGAAATGAGTTATTTGATAGATAAATTAACAGAAGACCTGATTTTTATTTTAAAAATTTAATCATAATTATATATTTTACATTTTACGTTTAGTTCCCGCTTTGTACAGTGAATCTCATTTGATTTTTTTTCTGTATATTAGATTAAGCTCAAAGTTGGGGAGCCAATACTTCTTACCATCTCACATTTGTTAAAAATATCAAAAAACATTTATAAAACAAATTAAATAACTGAAATACCCCTCTTATTTTGAAATTTATAGGGGTATTATATTTATTTAATTGGGTATAAATTTTAATATTTTTTACAAGTGCACTATAGTGAGGTGTATGGATGGCCCAAAATTTGAGCTTAATCAACACTTTAGAAAATAATAAAAATTAAGATACTATTTTCACTATAAAAAAGTGGGGGTCAATTATATATATAAAATATTAGGACCAATTTGAAATTTCAAAAATAAAAGAGGATTTTCTATTCTTTAATTTAACATTTATCCATTTGCAACTAATATAATTCATGATGATATGTCTTTTGAACCTAGATCAAAATATATCGACACCATGCCAAATACTTCATCTCTCATGACCATTTATTTGAACTTTCAAGCAGAGGAGGCTAAAGGATATTTTGAAACTAAATCAAAACTTCATCTCTCATGACTATTTGTTCGAACTTTAAAGCAGAGGGGGCTAAAAAGCATAATACAACTCAACTCCTGTGTCCAAGAAAATCTCGGATAAGTAGTAGCTTTCTTATCTCACATACTAAACACTCTAATGCTTATTAGATACTGAGTACTGACACTCGTGTCGGAATCATTGTAACACTGCCAAGAATTGGATTTTGGATACGAGTATATTTTATCTGGTTATTATTATTGCATGTGTTTTCTTGATTCAAAATAATATAACAGACATGGGAGTCAAGCTTATGGTAGAGTGGTAATGGTTGGTGATTGCAACACTATTACAATTTTGGTTCTCATCGCAAACTACCCAAAATATGGTCTTTCGGTGAAGAAAATTTACTGAAACTTCCATGTATGATTTCTCTCTTGGCTACTATTTTAAACATTGGTCCTACTATTTTGTTAAAAGTTTTTCTCAAATTATGGGCGGTTTAGATACCTGAGGTC